TGAAAATACTTGTCATGTTGTCGTGACGCATCACAACATCCGAGGTGGTGCGTTACTTATCAATGAGTCGGTTGTTGACAGTATTTACTCATCCAGATGTTATGCGGTACAATCATATATGTCCTATGTTTGGTTTGACGCCGCTTTTCGAAATATTCCAGCTTATTTCATGACAACACTGCTCGGGGCAACACACAAATAGGGTAGACTCATTGTATTCATGTTGGGAATCGAACCGGACCAAATGACATGATAAAAAGCAAACCTATTGATTTTCAGAGATAAGATGTCTTAGATACCCATCAGCAGTCGTGTATTGTGCGATCTGTTTTAATTTTTAAAAGTTAAAAATCAAAATATATTTTAGAAAATAAAAAAAACCATGTAGATCTAGAAGTGTGCTTTGAGTGCTACCTAAGCACCAGAACAATCCATTTGTTGGAAATAATATCGTTAACGTATATTTTCAATTGAAAACCAAACATATAAAATTCATTTGCCCCTCAGTTTATCGAAACAATTAAATTGTCCTGAAACTTCTTGAAAAATAGAAGTATGCTTCAGACTGTTGGAAATAGAAATTGACCGAAAAAATTACATTGCTGCAAGGTGTTTTCTTTCTTTTTTAAATTCAGGCTTTTAGTTTAAAGAAGAAAATGTTTTCGTAGCTGTAGCCGAAATACTAGTATTTCTATTCTAGATACAAAATCCCAAAACTCGAAATCTAATTAAATTCACATTACTCAATTTGTAGGTTACTTTATTATGTCTTTAGGCTAGGAATATATATCCAAGACTTACCTACATGTACAAGGATTGGGATTCCAAGAGTGAGTGAGTATGTTTTTACGCCTCTTTTAGCAATATCCAGTAATTATATCACGGCGGGGGCACCAGAAATGGGCTTCATACATTGTACCCACGTTGGGAATCGAACCTGTGTCTTCGGCGTGACGAGCGAACACTTTAACCACTTTGCTACCTGTCACGGAGCTGTGCTCCAATGATCAGGGGTGTCATAAAATAAGCAAAAGTGATAAAGAAAACGTAGTTATAGGTTCACATGTTACTTTAATAACTTCTGATTATACTAACAGCTGACAGTTAAAAATAAATCCAATCTGCGCTCACGCGGATCACAAATCATTTTTTTCAGCGAAAACATACAACCAAGTTTTAGCTAAATAACTATACAGCTATAAAAAGGGAGGTAGCTAAAACGACACTCTGACAAGACATGGACCGGACCCGGTGTTTCGACTGCCAATTGAGTCGGCTGCGACCAATTAACACCTGAGTCAATTAACTCCACACTCTTATGAGTGAATGACCTCGGCTCAGTAAACAAAGGGAAAAAACACACCAAGAGCCTATACCTAAAATCAGTCACCAAATAGTTAGTTAATCAAGGGAAGGTTGGTTATCCACGGATTGCTAGAAAAAATGAGTGTAATGCTGTATTCGAATCACCTGTTACTAAGAGCTTAGAAATCACGGGGAAGTTGGTTATCCACGGATTACTAGCAAAACTAAGAATTACAAACCCTGGTAACTACGTCTAGTTCAGTACAGCCAGACTAAGTCAGAATATAGATCGACAAAGTCCCGAACCCACTCACTGACGAAACCAAAAGTTACCATAAATACATGAGGAATATCTGAATGTAGATATATATTCCCCAAATGTTTGCCAATCATAAATACAAAAAAACACATTTTGAATGCAAGAATATGCCAGCGATCATATGAGAAACAACACACATCCAGCCATTACATGTAATTTCTTTGATAGTCATTTAGAAGTTGGAGTACTAAGTAAGGATAAGAATTTATGGCTGAACAACTTCTTTATTACAATTAAAAGCGGCGTTTCGCTGTAGGTTCTAACACCGTTATCATCACTTACTTGATAACGGTGTTAGAACCTACACCGAAACGTCGCTCTCAATTGTAATAAAGAAGTTGTTCATCCATAAATTCTTATCCTCATAAATATTTCATCTGGACTGCAAGAGGTGCATCTGCACTAACGGATATGTAGATGAAGGTATTGAAGAGATGAGAAGTGAAAGACAGATCATCATTTAGCATTATGGCTTAATTTTGGGTTTACTTTGGTCTTTTTATACACTTATATTCCCAGAAAGTCCCTAAAAGAAAGAAAAAAGAAAAACAGTAAATAGGACGCCTTCATCTTAGGTTCCGAACTGACGCGGAGTTGCAAAGAAGGTGAAATTGTGACCCAAAAGCGGCATTCCACGAGTTACCTCCCTTCGAGGAAATTCGGGTTTCCTGGTCTGACAGCTTCGAAATGAACAAAAGTAACACTGTAGAAGAGGCTGTGGTGCCTGTATTTAACTAGGTGAGGTAAAATGGAGCTTAACGTCGCGTCCAAGATTATTGCACTTATATAGCGACGTGCATGTACGTGTGTGTTGTGCGCGCTCGCTTGTACTAGTCCGGACTGATGCCGAGCTATAGTGTCCGCCCACTGAGATACCATGCCGCAGTTTAACATGAATACCCCACTCAGACACAGTATACTGACTCTGAGCAGATCAGTCCTTGTTTTAGCTCCTTAATGCCGAGCGCCAGGCAGGGTAACAACAAGTACCATCTTTTAACGTCTTTTGGTATGACGCGGCCGGGATCGAACCCCGGACCTTCCGCTCTCCGACCGGACGCTCTACCACTAGACCACAGAGGCGGTCCCTAAATTTAATTAGATGTAATCGTAATCATATACATCAAACTATGAATCCTCTGAAAAAAAGACGTGTTGGTATTTTTGTGTGTGTTTTGTATCTGGTGTATACAACAGCATGAAAGAGCAATGAATGGTAGAGACGGACCAATTAGATCTTACAAGATAAGATTTAAAGCCTACAGTGTGAATGATGTACGTCAAATTGTAATATACTACCGTTGCTTTATTTACCTGTTCTATTGGCGCCTTGTAAAAAAAGTGTATTACAGTAAATAAGTTTCGCCGAGTGATAGCTTAGTTCCGTTGCAATTCCCATACATTATACATACATTATACATACATTTTACATACATTATACATAGAAACAGGTCGATATGTAAAAAAAAGAAGGATGTGTTAAATATGTATTTCTGGATATATGGAAAATGAGTATCACTTTTGCTTGTTTGTCGGAGGCTTAACAATTTTATGTGTTACCTTTATCTTCCTAAGAAATACTATGCACACCCCATGTTACAGAAATAAGCATTCTAATAATGACCACATTAAATGTTCTGTTTTGCTTCTTGATACAATTAAAAGGTGAGCAATGGGCACTTGACTCCTTGTTCTATTGACCCCTTTCCCGTCATTATTTTCACTGATCGATAGACAAGTTTGTAAGAAAATGTATTTTTAGATTCTATACACAATCCTAAGGCCCTTGTCACATAATTTAACGTGTTTAGAGGCCTAAACATGTCATGAACATAAACATGTTCAGATTTGAAAGATAATGCTGAACACATTTACGACTTAAACATGTTTAGACGTCTAAAGGCGTTAAACTATGGGACATGGAATGTTGTTATGCTACCCTACTTAAATTTATCATAAGTCTACCACAGAAAACAATATAATTATCATTACTAAATTACTTATTACTTTACAAAGATTTTGAGCTTGGCGAAATTTAAAAAAAAAAAAAAAATGTTTTAATGAAGATAATTATAACCCTGTCAAACCCTTATACAATCACGAGGAAATATAGACTGTAAAAACAACAAGTGAAACCTACGTGTTAAATAAAATTTATCATGTGACAGCAATTAACTATTTTTTAGAAAGAGTGAGTGAGTGAGTGAGTGAGTGAGGTTTTACGCAGCTTTTAGCAATATTCCAGGAATATCACAGCGGGGGACACCAGAAATGGGCTTCACACACTGTACCCATGTCGGGAATCGAACCCGGGTCTTCGGCGTGACGAGCGAACGCTTTAACCACTAGGCTACCCGACCGCCCCTTTTTTAGAAAGACAATGCGGTGTTTCGAGGTCCGAAGTATTATATGTGTTCATGCGATTAATTCCCTCGCTGCATCCTTAAACCAATCGGGGGCACGGGTGGTCCAGTCGTCCAAAGCGCCGCGATTCGCTGTGCAGAGTTGCGTCCCTTGGGCACGCCAGAAACCTATGATTGTGGGTTCGAATCCCGGTTCGCCCCGATTATGTTTCTAGGTTTGTCAGCATCATACCCTTGCTCAAACCCAACTCACTCAATCACTCACTTAAACCAATCAGAGATCTCGTATCACTAAGTAATGGCTATTTAATCCAATGTTACTTGAAAGCATGGCTCTCATTGGTCACCAAACTCTCGATGAAAATGCTTCGTGTGACAGGTTCTATATTTTGTACATGTAAATAATTCGTGCCAAAAATTACAAAAGTCGCAATGTAGGGGAGGACAAGCGTAGTTTTAGGCTCAAATCGTAACGTTTTCATCTCCGTAAATTGATATCGTAATGTTTTGTAATTGTTCGACGTATTTTGTCCTAATTTCTATCATTACTTTGTGGGTCATGAAAGGTCAACTCACATACTACACGTGGGTGTAGGCTTATCACGTGACCAGACTTTTCTCTTGTTTGTTAACAAATATGGTACACTTATTCTGAAATAAGAGACCCGTGAAGATCTGGGGTAGAATAGGTCTTCAGTAACCCATACTTGCTGTAAAAGGCGACTTTGCTTGTGGTATGAGGCGACTAACGGGATCAGGTGGTCAGGCTCGCTGACTTGGTTGATGCATGCCATCGATACCAGTTGCGTGGATTGAGTGCGGCGTTAAACAACAAACAAATCACATACTACACAATGTATATATCAAAAGTAAAATAGTCTAACATCGGATATTGCTCATAATATTAATCATTTGATTGTCTGGACATGCCGCTGTAATTTAGATACAGATGTACGCCGTTAAAATAAACAAACACGGGTTGAAAACAAAATGAATATATCTGCGTCGTGATATGTTTATTTTGCAGGTAAAAATAAAATACATATATCGTGTAATATATAGATATGGATGTCAACAGACTATATAATGTTAAACTTAATAAGAGGAATAAAAAGTAGTCCTCTCAAGACATCAGTGATATTTGTAACTGTGTCAATGACGTCACCAATAAATATCAACAATGCAAAAAGCACACGGCAATGTTTAGCTGTAACAACAACGTCATGATGGCAAAACGTCTTCATGATAGGACTGTATATAAGTAAAAAATCGACATGATCTCAACATATCACAGTACATATTGATGGAATTCTGGAATCATTGTCAGGACAGCACTATTTGTAATAATAACATATTATGGACATAAATGGAAGATGTTATTAACACAAACTGTCAGCACCTTTTAACGAATCATCCGCATACACGTACATCAACATGATACTTAAGTTAATGTGTTGCAAACTTGGACGTCCATATAGTTCATACCCCAATAATTGCGTAGATCGATGCTAATGATATCAATCACTGGATTGTCTGGTCCAGACCCGATTACTTACAGACCGCGGTCATATAGCTGGAATATTGCTGAGTGCGGCGTTAAACAAAAAAACAACAAAAAAAACATGCCCCAATGAGCTCATACAAAGTGAAAGTCAATTCTTAAGTTACAAAATAGTTGTTGAAACAAAATAATGTGCACATACATCAAAAACAACAAATATCAGTGAAGAAAGAGAATGGAGAACACATGCACTCCAGCAAAAGAATAAAAACGAATAATCATCACATGGTAATAATCGAAATAATCACGCTTAAAACATCCATATCAATAAATATTCTTTCAAACCGTCAAAACATTTTCAGTTAAGTTTCCTTAAATTAACACACCGATGGAAGACCGTATAACGATACTGAATTGTATAAAATATAATATTGAAAAAAACATAACCTGGTCGTTGGTGGCTGAATGCCTTTGCTTTATCACAAACAGACACAAGCATCATAAAATATATTAAAAAAAGAAACTATACTAAATTTAAATTTCTAACATGACGGATGTTTTCACAGTGTTTTCAAACATTTACAGGTATTTCAAGTTTTAGCAGGAGAGGACAGCCAAACACTGATTTTTTCGGATCGGATCCGGATCCGAATTTGATCATTATTTTAGTGGGATCACAAACAGATCTCAAGGCCAAACTATATTTGGTTAGGGACCTAATTACTGAACAAATTAAACACTATGTCAAAACTTAAAAAAATTTAAACAAACTTCTCTCATATATTTCTGCATTGTTTTTGTTTTCAAGAACATGTCTTAATACACGTACCCAAGACAATGTATCATATCAGTATTTCAGTCACTGCCTAATATTTGGAAATTATCATCAAAATGCTTGAAACACAAGTACGGGTTTTATATTTTCACACAATTTTCGAATATTAAGTTCAGCGGGTCTGTTTACCAAATAAATGTATGGCCTGAGAACAAATGTAACTTGTCATAACTGGTCTGGTTTGAACAAAACGCGTGTTCGTTTATTAAAATTTGAGTGACATGCTCAAAATCAACACGGGTTCACCAAGGTCGTCCATGGTTTTGAAATCGAACGAAAGTTCTTTTGTGTTATATTTGCATTTTCGTCATCAGCATATAAGACATTTATCATTGTGAGGTATCACGTGTTTCCAACAACCATATCAATACATACACTCAAATCAGGACTTATAAACAAATAACAAACAAATAAACACATTCTGCCTCAAAAATCATAAAAATACAGCAACACAGAAACATACCACACGCATGTTATCGATGAAAGTAAACACATCTGTTCCGTAAAATATTAATAAATAATATAAAAAATAAATATGTCATCATTGAAAATAAACTCATGCTTACTGATAACCGTTTTTCATGATCGCGTAACTTTCTTTTACTCTTGTCAACAGATGTACGACGTCTTTGGTAATGATGTAATCTCGTTGGCTTCTGACACTATCGGACGTGATCTCGCGAAGAGCATTCGGCATTACCTCTCGTGTGACGTAACCTCCGATGCTTTGATTGTGGTTGCTAAGGACGCTCTCCATACTACAAAGCATGGCCAGTATTTTCTCCATGACAGGTTCGAGGGTCGCTTTGAGTGTGCTGTTGAAATCGCTGCTATCGTCAGCAAGAACAGCCTCCAAAAACACGTAAGCGATGGAGAGGTTCTCGTAATCCTTCTTCAGAACAGCGGTTGTCTGCAATATGAAATATATAATTACGTTTAAGTATATTGTGGGTCTGCAAAATATGTAATAAATGTTATCTTATTTAAGGGCGCAAAGAACAATGTATTTGGAAGACAGAATGTTTTTTTAAGAACCTCAGAGAGGGACTATTAGAATCAGTAAAACATCAGAAATACAAACAAAACAATACAATATAATCAAACACAACACAATAATTATATAAAGGACAGGGCAGGAGGCCCACAGGAAGGAATTTTATAGTGTGGGGGTGGTGGAGGTGGGGAGTTGGGGGTTAGAGGGAAGAATTATATTTGTATAATAAACGCAAAGCAAAACTCACATGGGCCTCAATGTGAAAATACAATACACCACACTGTATCGATAGTAAGTGAGTGAGTATGGTTTTACGCCGCTTTTAGCAATATTCAAGCAATATCGCAGAAAAAGGCTTCACACATTGTACCCATGTGGGGAATCGAACCCGGATCTTCAGCGTGATGAGCGAACGCTTTAACCACTAGGCTACTCCACCGCCCCGTATCTGTAGTAAGAAGCTAGCTAGTCGTAAGAGTGGACTAACGGAACCGGGTGGTCAGGCTCGCTAACTTGGTTGATGCATGTAATCGTATCCCAAAGATCGATGCTCATGATGTCAATCACTTGGTTGTCCGGTTCATACTCGATTATTTACATACCAACGTCATATAGCTGGAGTATTGCTGAGTGTGGCGTTAAACAACAAATTAAGCAAATATGAAAGGTTGCGTCTCATCCTTATTTTGTGTCCCATGTTGTTTAACTTCGCCTTCATGTATTACGTTAGAGCTGGGTGTGTTTGGGGGCGTTCGATATGTACAAATACGACCACGACAGTTCGAACATTTAAACAATCCGGATTAACGAACAAGAGACTTTGGGTGAACATGTTTGCACGATATTTTTTGCAAGTTGGATTTCCCGTTCAGTTTAACAATTTGTTGACTTACTGAGTTTTTATCCGTCCAAAATATGACGTCATCCGGAGCAGGAAAGTTGACGTGGGTTGACCCCTCGAGAATCAGGGCAAGGGTCACGCTGGAATCCAGTCGATGGATAGTCTGAGGAGAGAGAAAAGGAAAGGAATAAATTCAATGTTTCAATGTTTACCACGTTACTGTTTAAAGCTGTTTTCGACACATTGCCACTGGTGGACGCAGGAAGATAAACCTTAAGATGACGGTTGACCCCGATGAATATGCATGAGTGGCATAGTCCATTACATTCCAGGGTTGATGGGAACAGATTACAACAAACGGTACATGTTAGATTTACGTGTAATTTACGAGCTCCAATATCACAGCAACCAGCGAGGCGATTAATACGGTTGGATATTCTGGCGGAAAATTATGATATTTTCAGCGATTCTCTTGCGCGAGCGACTGGCAGATTCATGCACAGAAGCTGCGCGAGGTGTCACGTGGCCACATGTAGCTCGTGAACTCCGTGTGTATTTCAACCAACTCGCATTCTTCAGTGAGCTCTGCCACACACGTGTTACGCCTACGACTTGTAATGACGGCATGGTGGGTAGTTTAGGGAACGAGGTTGAACGGGCGACTAACGGGATCGGGTGGTCAGGCTCGCTGACTTGGATGATGCATGTCATCGATCCCAATTGCGTAGATCAGTGCTCATGATGTCAAACACCGGATTGTCTGGTCCAGACTCTATTATTTACAGACCGCACACATATAGCTGGAATATTGCGGCGTTAAAAAACAAACAAACAAACAAACAAAACAACTTAAACACATGAAGATGTATACACAGATATACATACTGCAGTTTCCCGGAGTGAGATAGCGCCTTGGTGGGCTCCTCTGGTCTGAATGTACAGTTCAGCCGTTAGGTCGCTGTTTGACGGTCCACTCGTAGGGGTATCGAAAAAATCTCCCCATGAAATAACAGGAGCTGGGGGTCCGCAGGGCGATGACCAAGGTCCAGACACGGGGTTCCCCAGGATGTTCTCGATGAGGGGGGCAAAGACGAGTACGCAGATTCCTAAAAAAAATATAAAATGTTGATATCAGTCAAAACGTCACAATAGGTCCACATCAACCTATGCTTGTCGTACGAGCCGATTAAATGGATCGTGGGGCCGGACTCGATAGTCGGGTAGCCTAGTGGTTAAAGCGTTCGCTCGTCACGCTGAAGACCCGGGTTCAATTCCCGACATGGGTACAATGTGTGAAGCATATTTTTGGTGTCCCCCGCCGTGATATTGCTGGAATATTGCTAAAAGTGGCGTAAAACCATACTCACTCACTCACTCACTCCATAGTTGCCTGTCCTGGACATAAAATTGAAGTTAATTAATTACAATAGAAAATGAATACCTCTTTAATACTTCTATGTGTATGTGCCGGCATATGACAAATGCGTAATGAATCTAGTCGGTGTGGGTAACGGACCACATTTAACAATGTATCTTCTTATTTCCATTGCAAACAAACAGGTCCTAATATTAACCTGAATCAATTAACGTTTTACTTCATAAAGTAAGCAGCATTGAGAAACAAAGACATTAACCTATGAACAAGCACTTCTTGACGCAGAATCAGGACTGTTCAAGTGAGCTTTAAGACAAAGCCGTGTCGTCTATGAAACAGCTGTTAATAGGATTGCTGCGTGGACTTAAATGCAGTAAGACGATTTGTCGCTCCAGTAAAAATTCGGGTATCAAATGACACATTTGTCAGCCTCCGGCTTGACATAAGAACGTTTACTGTGTATGTCAGATATCGACTTATCTTGGAAATGAAATGCTGTTATAACATGTTGCACAGCGTGCACATCGTGCACGGCGCACTTTTGCCATTAAATACCAAACGGTTCAAAAGTGCATATGGACAGGTGTTAATATTTATGATTTGAAAATGAAAAATAACCTCAATGTGAAACGATGATGGATATGTATGTTTATATTTATGGTAAAAAAATACAATAATACACAAACTGCATGACATTCAGCAGTTTTTATCGTCCGTATATGATTATTGATTTATGTCTACATCAACTAAACAGCTGTCATACAAATCGACATGCTTCACCAGTCAACGCTGATGTTAAGATATATATATAGATATATACATACCGGTCTTCATAATTGACATAGCTTCGAATATCCTTGTTGATGGCGTTAATTAAGTTGTAGCGTTGGCTGTAGTTTTGAGTTTGGAATGATTCCATCTCTGCCATCTTATATACAGCTTCTGTGAAGGAAAATCCGGTCGGAGAACCGAAATATCCGTCAAAATTTCCCACCCGATCCATCATGAGCTTCTGTGTGGTTTCCATCACCATCTTGGCGTTTCAACCCAAAACGAGGCTTTCAGTAACACCATCAGCCAATGGTTTACTTTCTCTGACGTCATTGCCCATATACGTAGTCATGGGCATGATATCGTTGTGGGCATTTCAACAGGTACTGCTCTGGAATTCTCTCTTTGCAAACTGTCGAATATCCGTGATTGGATGCTATATATTTCGTGGGAAGGCAGGATTCTGGTGTTTAATTTACGTGTAGGGAATACATCAATAATTACCTTTTAATGATACGTATTTGCCAATGCGCTACCTACGGCTAATCCTACTTGTAGTAGCAAGTGTCAATACCGGAGGCTTGGATTTTTCGAAATCTGATATTATACGCTCTTTGATCCAGAAGCTCTTAAATGGATGGGATGGGTAATATGCTCAGGTTGGAATTTCGAATTGAAACTTTTCAGAAAATATCAATCTTTTAATATAAACTGCCGGGCTAAAGAAAATATACACCCATGTTTGATGGTGGCTTAATGAAACAAGCAAGTAATGGTTATTCGATTGTGAGGTACAAGTTGATAGGGGATCAACGACTCTGTTTTGGACCATAACTTTGCGGTGTTTCGGTTACTGTTGTCGGGCTAGTAAAGTTTAGATAACGTTTGAAATGTTTTCGTCAAATCCAATTTTCAAGTGTATAATTTCTTTTGCCTGGCAATTTACTTGAGTTCAGATTGTTCCTGTCATGTGATTTTTAATAATGTTCCTTATATGTTCCTAAGGGTAGTTTACACGTTATTGGACTTTTGTGTCATGGGTATTCTTCTTAAAAGAACTATGGCTTTCATAATGTTCCTAATATGTTCCACATGGAATTTACAAGTTTAATCAATTTTCTGTTCACCTGGCAACTTCGAAGATGACAAAAGGAGAGCATTGTCTAATGTGTTAGTTAGTTTATTTTAACACATTTCGCAAAACACATTAATGAAGTCAATGTACGTATTTACATATCAAAGAAAAAGGTATCCCATGTCTTATGAGTCAATCAACCAACCTCAAAATTTCATCAGAGCAACAAGGATTAAATCCCTAAAACTGTAAACAATAAAATAAACGTGTATTATTAGATTGATATACGTCTACGTGTATACTCAACACCGGTAGAAACGCAAAACTCACGTCACGAGAGAGAGAGAGAGAGAGAGAGAGAGAGAGAGAGAGAGAGAGAGAGAGAGAGAGAGAGAGACTTTGATAATATTAATCAGAATAATTATACAGTAAACTAAGGTTATAACGAACTTAAAGGGACTACTAATTTTAGTTCGTTATAACCGTAGTTCGTTATAAGCATATACACAGCATAACTACAGCAAATAGTCGGGACCAAAAAGTAAGTTCGTTATATCCGTCAGTTCGTTATAAGCGTGTTCGTTTTAACCGTAGTCTACTGTATATTGTATTTATAATCAGAATACACTATATAGGCTGGTGTGAACGGTGTCAGGGGTTCACTAATACCATTGCCCGAGACCTGCGCCTGTGTACAGTAATATTAAAGGTCCAGTGGTCCCGGTTTTAAGTCAAATGAAATGTATAAATTTAATTTTGTGAGGATTTAATAAAACAGGTTTTGATTAAAAACATTCATATGAATCATACGTTTGCTTATTATCGTGGTATATGGCAAAGTCTTTGCAAAGTTTATCAAACACAGGTCGAAATAAACAGGCCATGTCACTGCCGGGTGACTTGAGATCAATGTTATTTCAAAATCTTTAAATTTGAGAAGGTAAAGTTAAATTGATGGTAATTATGAATGGCTATTTAATATTCTGTGGCTAAGGTAAGTTCATATACGTCATTCGTAATGGTGAATTAAACTTTATGATCTATAATACAAGATCCGTTCTAGGTCACAGCTTGTGTCAGCTTTGATCAAGATTCTTAATGCAATATATACAATTGACACACAATATGTGTACAGACGATGAACGTTCAGTGGAAAAACAAATACCGTATTCGACGTAATAAGCGCCCTCTCTAATACGCGCCCACGGCGATATTTGCTGATATATTGGCTTGTGAACAATCCCAATTAGCACCCTTCCGATTGATCCATGTACACAAGACTATTTTATTCGTGTATAATACGCACTCGTGTGTTTTATGCACCCTTAATTACGGGCAATTTAATTTTGAAAAATATATCTGTTGTGTATAATACGCACATACGTTTCTTTTGTATCATTTCTGGCTGTCAGCATAAACCACGAAATTTACGATCTTTCAACCCTTTCACCAAAGTTATATTCTAATTAGAGCCCCCTATTTCTTATTTTGAAAGCGCCCTGGGCGCTTATTACGTCGAATACGGTACGTGTAGCTAGAAGGCATTATGCAAAATTGAACGTACGTAAAGAATGCACAATTTTGAAATTATAGTTATATAGTTTGGTTCATAGTTGAACCAAAGTGAAATAATTAGTTATTAATCCTTTTATTCGCATGCGTAATTATTTCATTTATTCATTTGTTCGTATATGTGCTTATTTATTTACTTACTAAACTTTTTGTCAATTTGTTTTAACTTTTTTATACTACTGTATTCAACTTAATTATATCTTACGTTAGTCTGTTAAACTTTATATTCTGTATCTATGAGCCGTGGGGCACGGGTGGCCCAGTCGTCTAAGGCTCTGCAGATTTGCGTACCTTGGATAAGCCAGAAACCTATGTATTCGAATCCCGGTTCGCCCATATTTTCTTTCTTGTTTGTCGTCACGCCGAATACCCGGGTTCGATTCCCGACATGGGTACAATGTGTGAAGCCCATTTCTGGTGTCTCCCGCCGTGATATTGCTGGAATATTGCTAAAGGCGGCGTAAAACCATACTCACTCACTCACTCTTTCTTGTTTGTCAGCACCATGCCCGTGCTCGTGGGTTTCACCAAAGTGTATGCATTGATTCGGGCTCTCCTTCCACATAAAGCTGACACGCCGATGTAAAGAGAACACTGTTCATAGTGACATTCTACCATGACATTGTTGAATGCTTGATTCTGATTGGTTAAAAAGAGGTTTCCTTTTTGCTACGGAAACCCCCTTTAAATAGGTCAAGCCTTTTCACCAAAAAATCGTGCGTATGCATACATCGATAGCCCACATATCGATCCAAGATGGCTGCCGATAACCCATCATTCGATCTCGGATCGATTACAGATGTTTTCGGTGACGATTTTGATTTGCAAGAGGTTAACCCTGACTGGTTTGAAGATGAGATGTTAATGGATGAGATGGGAACACCCAACGAAGGTATATCGTTTGCATACAAATTGTAACGTTTATAGGAACTGGTTCGGTAATTCTCACACTCCAAAAAATATCAATAAAATACGTAAATAAAAAAATAACATTAGCTAGAAAAAAAAGAAAGAAAAACTTTATGCATGACAAAATATTGTTACCAATTTTCGGAATATGTAAACTTTACCAACAATGTATTTACTGTCCATTAGGGCCCGGCACTGCTCCGACAGAAGCGACAGAGCCTACAATGACTAGCGAGGGAATGACGTCTGCCGCTACTAGTGACTCTCGCCACTTCGTCACCCTCGATGCTGATGAGATCGAGTCCATTGTAATAAACATTGCTAAAGCGCTCGGTTCAAAATTATAATAAAGAGGTATCTATTCTACAGTGGGACTACATCAAATTTCAAAACACAGTAGGTTTATCTCCTAATTGAACCGTACTCACCACCAACTGACACACGGTGATATAACTGTCGCAGTTACAAACTGTCGGAATGGCGTTAAACCCAATTCACCGTTTCACTTAATGAAGTCTTTTTCTTCACGACTTTCTTTATAACCATGTTGCTTTAAGCAGGACATTAAAATTATGTGGGGTTGACTGTCATTCAAAGTGTCTGTTGTTTTAGAAAATATTCCAGGAGTGCGGTTCGCCCCGATTATGTTTCTAGGTTTGTCAGCACCATACCCGTGCTCATGGGTTTCGCCGAAGTGGTAAAAGTCTGAGACCTGTATCGCTTCGGGCTTTCCTCCCACATTAAGCTGACACGCCGTGATATAACTGGAATTCTGTTAAAAAGCGGCGTTAAACCTACCTCACTCACTCACTCTGGTTGTGCTTGTCGTAAGAGGAGACTAAATACATCAGGTGGTCAGGTTTGATTGGTGCATGTCATCGTATCCCAATTGCGTGGATCAATGACGATGATAATCACTCGATTGTCTGGTCCCGACCCTAGTAGGTACAGACCGCCGACATATGGCTAGAATATTGCTGAGCGTGGCATTAAACGTTTAACAGGCAACAAGCAACACACATTCGGTAGCAGGTACCGCAGCGTTTGGATTCCGGGGTAGAATAGGTCTTCAGCAACCCATGCTTGCCGTAAAAGGCAACTATGCTTGTCGTAAAAGGCGACTAACGGGATCGGGTGGTCAGGCTCGCTGACTTGGTTGATGCATGATGCATGCATGATATCAATCACTGAATTGTCTGGTCCAGACTCGATTATTTACAGACCGCCGTCATATAGCTGGAATATTGCTGAGTGCGGCGTTAAACAACAAACCAACCCTCAGCGTTTGCATAGTTGAGCCCCCTAAAGTGTCATGACATGTACCGTGAAACCCCGTTAATCCAGACGGTACCGTTCCCAATGAATTCGTACGGATTAACACATGTCGGGATATCCGAGCATGGGCTAGTGAGTGAGTGAGAATGGTTTTACCCAGCTTTTAACAATATTACAGCAAAATCACCACGGGTGACACCAGAAATGGGCTTCACACATTGTGCCCCTGTGAGTCTTCGGCGAGACGAGCAAAGCTTTAGTCACTTGGCTGACCCATCGCCCCACTGTGCTATTAATATCCTTTGTATACATATAAAAGTCCTCAATAAACAAGAACCTCCTCCGTGGTCTAGTGATAGAGCGTCTGCCCGGAGAGAGGAAGGTTCGATCCCCGGTCGCGTCATACCAAAATACGTTATAAGAT